CTGACCTTCCCAGGAAAGTACATTTTCCATTTCAGTGATAGAGGTGTCTATTGCTGATTTAGATTGGATTTGCTTATTTATTCTGGGACCAGTGCCTGAAGGTTGGAGAGGGGAAAATATGTTAATCATTAGCAGATCAAGCTTTGGGAATTTGTAGGAGTAGAATTTAGAATAATAAAATATTATCTGAAACTGAGTAGTTAATATTTTTAAATAAATGTACCATACTTTTATTTCTCAAGTAGCCAATTCTTCAAGTAGCAATTGATGCCTTTGTTAGAAGCAGGTGAAAAACTTGATTATTTACATAGGGAATGGAAAGCCTAGGGCATTCCACTTTCCGGTTTGGTTTCTTTTTCTTCCAATTCTTTCTGGCAGGCAACTGGGTTGATTCACCATCTATCAGCTCTAGAGACATCTGTTCATCTATATATAGGCTGCTCACACAGACCTATTTAAGAACAGATGATATATTAAATCTGTGGAATTCAGTATCAGTGAAGGCAAAAAGACACAGGCTTGTCCACAAGTAGGTATTTTTTTGTTTCCTTTTTACTGACTTGGGAAGTGATAAGAAAATTTAAACAGTGACGTACAATGAAATAGATTATGTCAAATTTTCACTTATTTGGATCTTCTTGGACTAGCACTGTCTGTGAAAATAATCATTTGAACTGGTTTTAGGTATTTCTTGGTGAGAGTGTGTGAGCATTAAGTTTATAAACTTTGAAATATACTCCCGATTGGGGTCACTTTTTCTTTCTTCTTCCCTTGCTAGGTCCCTCCTTCCCTTCTCTTCTTCCTTCCTTCCTTTTTTTTCCCCCTGGGTCTTTCTACATAGTGCAAGCTGGCCTCAAACTCACGATTCTTCTGCCTCAGCCTCCTGAGTGCTGGGATTACACTCATGCACCATCATGCCTGGCTCCAGTTGGGATAACTTCTGCAGTGAGCACAGAACATAGGGCTGTATAGAATTTACCAGAAGGGAGTTATTAAATGATTTCTTCTAAAATGAATAATCCCTAATGTCTAGAAGTACAAAGGTCTGGAAGTATAAAGGCATTTTATCAAGGGCTTGTAATTAAGAATTATGACAGGAAAGGGAAAATTTATATAAATGTTCTTTCTTTGTAGTTGAAAGTCTTAGAAGGACTACTAAATCTACACAGTCAAACAATAAATTATAAAACAAAATGAAGTGTAGGTTTGAGAACCATAATTTTACAGAAATTGCTGAAATTTACTGCTTTGGTCTTTCCGCCTCCTTATGAGTATTGTTGGAGTTAGCAGGAGCGGGTTATGCAATGTATACTATACAACTGTATACACTGGCAGTCTGGTCATGCGATATTTAATATAATACTGACACTTGGTAAATTCTGTTATTTGAATGGGAAACTTAATCAGATTTTAGATAAGTCTTGCATTGGAAGTTAATTTCTGGGAGGGACAAGAAGTGATTTTCAGATAATTGAACTTTAATTTCCATTAGTTTTGGAGATAGAAAGGTTTATTGGGTAAACCTTCCTCCTTGAACAAGAGTACTCTCTTCTCTCTCTCTCTCTCTCTCTCTCTCTCTCTCTCTCTCTCCCTCCTCTGTGTATCTGAAAGGGCATTTGCTCTCATGAACACTTGAATCAGAATTTATTAAAGAGTAAATATGGCCAGGCATGTTGGCTTATGCCTGTAATCCCAGCACTGAGGAGACTAAGGCAGGAAGATTGAGAGTTCAAGGTCAGCCTGGGCTACATAGCAAGACCACTGTCTCCAAAAAAAAAAAAAGTATGTATAATAGCCCTCATGATCCTATCTGCATATGGTTTACTTAGGAGGACTACTGATTGGTATTTCAAAATTATTCTTGCGTAATGTTCACTGCTTTCTTTAATTACTGTTTCTTTGAAATGTCCAGACTTGCTAAATTGTATTGTTTCCCTGTTCTCCAAAATCGAATTAATTTGTTATATTTAATCATTTTCTAATAGCTTATCTTACCCTAGGCCTTTGAAACACTGTAAAACGTGACAAATAGTTGCCCTTTTATCCCTTTTCCACTTTATCCTGCTTGGCTCTCTGTTTTCTTTCTACAAACTTGCATCCTACTAAGTGCCTATACTTGAGAGCCAGAAACCTTGGTGTGAATTTTAGTTCCAGCGCTTTCAAGCTGTGTGACACAGGACAAAATTTAAAAGATCCGATTTTTTAGTTTTCTCCTCTATAAAATGGAGATTATAATTGTACTATCTTCACAGCTTTTTAGTTTGGCTCCCCATCCCCCTCCCCACCCCAGTGCTGGGGTGAAACCCACAGCATTGCACTCTATCACTGAGTTACACCTCCACTCTTTTCTTTTTCTAAAATAAGTTAAAAGCAAGTCGCTCATTTAACACAGAGCCAGACACACAGTAATATACTCAATGACTCCTACTATTACTTGTATTTTATTAATTATTATTGCTGTAGACCTATGATTATAATTGATTCCGAGATAAAGTTTCTGGATTAAATTTGTTTTATTGAAGTTGATTATGAGAACTCCCTTGGCCCTGATCTGAACTATCCATTTCCCTCAGCCCTTTTGTCGATCTCACCAGAGAATGAATCCAGGTGGTCACATTCCAGGTCTGTTTTCTCAGCAGAGCAGGCTTCCAGAAGAGCATGTAGAATCAAAGTAAGGAGCTCAGATTCAGGAATCAGAATTTTGGAGCTCAAATTCTGTTCCACTTCTTATTAGTGAGATAACCTTAGGTGAATTACACACTCTCTCTAGGCCTCACGTTCCTTACCTCTAAGATGGGATGAACAATACCCATCTCATAGGAATGTTATAAAAATTAAACGGATTTAAACAAAAGTATAGGGCTTGGGAGGTGGCTCATTGGCAGGGCACTTACCTAATGTCCCTGAGTTTGATCCCCACCACCTCAACAAAACAACAAAAAAAGTACATAGAACAGTGTCTGGCACAGCCACAATACATAGTTGTTGTTTACAATCTACTTAAGTTTTCAAGATTTTGTTTTAACAGCATAAACTTATAATAACCTCCTGGTTAGTTTTCTCAGACTGTATTTATCAACATTTTGAGATCCAGTTCAATTCAAGAAGCAACTATTAAATGTCTACTGTATATGAAGTTCTGGAGGGTCATACATTCCTGCTCAGGCATGTTGGATCACTCCTGTAATCCCAGCTACTCAGGAGGTGAAGATTGGGTGAGGCCAGCCCAGGTGAAAAGTTTGCAAGACCCCATCTCAACAAATAAACCAGGAATAGTGGTTCATTCCTGTAGTCACAGCTACATGGGAGGCCATAGGTAAGAGGATCACAGTCTGAGGCCATCCCTAGGCAAAAAACATGAGACCCTGTCAAAAAAATATCTAAAGCAAAAAGGGATGGAAGCATGGTTCAAGTGGTAGAGCACCTGCCTAGCAAGCATGAAGCCCTGAGTTCACACCCTATTCCCACCCTCCCACGCCCCTCCCCCAAAAAGATATTCCTGTCCTCTAGGAGTTAATAAACTTGTAAGAGGGATATTCAGGGTGGCAGGAAAGCTATTACATAAGGCAAAATAATACTATACTTTTCATAACAGGTAAAAAGTAGCTCACAGGAGGCCCAGAGTTAATTCTGAACATGGAGGAGTGAGTTGGGAAATTCATATGAAGAGTGTAGGCATTTCCAGGTGAAGTGAATAAAAGAGATGGGGAATGAACAGCCTTGATTAGGATGCCTTTAAATGGGAGAAACATAGCCGAGGTAAGTACATAGGCCATGAGCTACCAATGTAGCTTGGGAAAGCATGGAGAGGTAAAATTGGTAAGAGGAGAGTGAGAAGGCAGAGGGTTGAAGTCAGTTCAAACATTGAATTTTAGTACTAGGGAAGGTAGTGATAACGAAAGAGGTAAGATGTTTGAGAAGCTGAGTAGGTTTTTGGGAGAGAGACAAGTTCTACTTCAGACCTATTTATTAAGTTTGAGATGTGGGCAGAAGTCTAGTTATTATTCTCCCATTCTTGGATGCCTCCCTAAAAACTGCTGTGTGGAAAAGTCCAATATTAGGATTATTGGGAATATTAGTAATTCCCAGTAGATGCAGGTTCTCCTCAGATGGGACTTTCAGGGCTCCTGAAGTTAAAAACCTACCATGTAAGGGTACTTCCCTTGGCTTGCAAGATCCTCTTAACCCTCCCCTGAACATTTTCTTGCTTAGTCTCCGAACTATGACTGTGCCATGTCATTCTACATAGTATGTAGTTGTCATACCCTTTAGGATCCATTGTTTTTTGTAGTAGAGCTAATTGATTTTTAACTTAATAAAAATCCCTGTTGTTTCGTTAAGTAGTACTGCCAGAGTAGAAATAGGAGAAACACCCATGACTCTCCATTAACCCGGATGTGCATTGAGTCATCTAGCTTAGTTATCTCACCTTAACAGAAAAAGGTTCTTACTGAAGAGGAAGAGAAAAAAAGAGTTATATTAATGATGAGATATCTTATAGTCTAGAAATGCATACCACAGTCAAAATAGGTATAACTTTTAGATACAAAAGAAAAGATTTTGCAAATTGCCAGTACTTCCTGGTCTCTGTGAATAACCACATCATTTATGGTATAAACATTTGCTGACAAAGTGTACAGCATCTGGAAAGCTTTCTGCTGGATGCTGGCACTCTTATTTTTTTTAGAATTGGTGTTTTTCAGTCTTAGGAGGAAGACCAAGTGCTGTAGGAAGTTTTGAGCAAGAGACAAGACTCTGTAGTTTGTGGATTGTTATCACCCTGCAAGACCCTTTGCAACTTCCTCTTGCCGCCCACAGCAGAATACGGAAACCCTGCTGTATCAGGCCACTTCTGCAATTACACATAGTTGCAATTCAAGGGAGCCATCTATCATACTGCACCCTTCTGTTTTAGACTTTCTTTGCCTTTGAAAATGTGTCTTTTGAGGTGGAATACCCAACTGACCCCTCATCTCTCCTCTCTCTTTGTTGCCCTGCAGTGTTGCAGTTGAAGCTCCAGCAGCGCCGGACCCGGGAAGAACTAGTGAGCCAAGGGATCATGCCGCGTAAGTGTCTCTTTTGTCAGCATTTGATAGAGCTTCTTTTAGGACATGGTTGTGTGGACCCAGTATAGCACGGGAAGGATCTAATGTAAAACAAGGACGACAGTTTTTATTTTCCACTGTTTTCTGCCTCATGCTTTCCAAGTTCAGGGATTCTTGATAAAAAGGTAATTGCCCTAATCAGTCGAATTCATTAAAACAAACATCAGTAGGCTTAAAGTCTGCTAGTAATCATCCTTTGCTTTTGCATTACACCTTTCAGAGGGTTTCTGTGCCCTGTTACACTTTCCTTTACAGGAGGAGATTTTGCACTGAGGTATTGTGAGGAAGAACCCACTTCTCAGGAATGCTTTGCCTTTGTATTCAGGTTGTGAGGATGAGAAACCTCTGTTCCACCTATTTGAATAGGTGTTTTCAGGGGACAACAGTTGAATTTAGAGTGAGGTCCTCAGGTACCCTGTGGCTGTCATGCACGTGAGCACGCTTGAGTGGGGCTGTTGTTGGGCCAACACAGCATTGGCTTAGTGGGTGCAGAACTACTTTCCTTGGGAGAGAAATGAAACCAAACCTTGGAAACTGTTAAAAGTAAGAAAATCTATTTTAAATATCAATAGCATTATAAATGGAGTTGAAAACTGGAGCCAGCAAGATTTTGCTTTTTTTTTTTTTTTGACATTTCTTTCTAAGTCATCAGCAGAGAGTGTAGGTTTTTCCTCTTATGTTTGTATGTCATCATCACTTGGACCCACCCTAATAAAGTAAAAGAAAAAAAAAATGCCATGTAGCAAGGACTGGCTTCATCATGAGAGAACTGATGTTTTCCACCTCAGTGTTAGCTGACCTAATACTACCATATTTTCATACCTTTTATTCACTTAAACTATTAATATGTGCAAGTTTTAGGAGATTTATATTTAGAAGGGCAAGACTAATAATAAAAAAGGAGACAAATAAATAAATGAAGAAGATAATTTTAGAGCCTGGTAAGTGCTGTGACATAAATTAACTATTTAATGTAAGAATAAGATGGGGTCACTTTGGATAAGATGGATAGGAACCTAGCCATGGTGGTGCATACCAGTAATCCTAGTATTTGGGAGGTTAAGGCATGAGGATCATGAGTTCAAGGTCAGCCTGGGCTACATAGCAAGACCTGAATCAAAAAACCAAATCAAACAAAAATGTGGCTTAGGAAGATCTCTCTAAAGAGGAAATACCATAGCTGAGACCTATAGGGGTGAGATGGGGTCAGCCATTCAGAAAGTAGGAAAACCAAGTGTGAAGGCCTGCAGACAAGAGTTTGGTGTGCTTGAAGAACATTGAGGAAGCCATTGTGGCTGGGGTATGTTAAGTAAGGGGAAAAGGGTCAAGTGGAGATGGATAAGGAGGTACCACATGGAAAAGGTGGATTTGATTTTAAGTACAGTGGAGGTTTTGAAGCAGGTGAGGATAGTATTTGATTTATATCATGATAGAGTAGGTCCACTTCTAAGAGTTAGAACCTTAAGCAAATGTAAACAGTTGGAGGTCTTTTTGATCCTAACCATCAACCAAGGAATTTAAAATCTCAAATTAACCTTTTTGTTTACTTTGGTAGTAATTTACCTACATTATGCTATCTCTGTGGTTCTCCAGTAAAGAATTCCTCATCCCTAACCCTTAGTGTCAGGTGGCTTGTGCAGTATATCAGTAATGTGACCAGGTATCTTACAAAACAGTCTGCAAACATTGTGCAGAAACAAGTTACCCACATCTCATTTGCTTGTCCCTCTCACAAAGGACATTACATATTTAGTGTCTGCTTTGTGTCCAAGGTAGTCTTAGACATTGTAAAGATTAAAGAAATATGAGGCTTGGAACCCGCCCTCAACACCCTAAACAGCCAAACTTCTGGTAACCATAGCCAGGCAGACACAAAATAAAGAGCATTTCAGTGCTGATCTGTTAGATACTGAAATGATATAACTAGTTCTGAGAGCATTATGCTACTTCTTGGGATCTGTAATAGGTTTAGGATTGAAAAGTCATACAGAAGTTGAGTGCCTTGCATTGTTCTTCTGGTCTTTCATTTAATGATAATATAATGATAAGTGCTACTGGAGATTCTTGTTTAATAGAATTTATCCAATTATAGTTCCCTTGCTTAGCATTTCTGTAGTATTTCCATGTTGTTAAAACAAATGATGCTTCAGAAATTGCAATTGTCTGCTTGTATCTCCAACTAGACCATGAACCCATTGAGAAAGTATTCTACTTGTGTTTCTGTCCCCAGTAACTGGCCCTAGATGAGTGAAGACAACCACTCATGTGGTGTGTACATGTAGATTAGATGGACAGACAAAAATAGATACTACTCTTTGGTAAACCTGCTGGAATTTTGGATGTGGAGTTTGAAAAAACACTCCCCTTTTTTTTTTTCCAAGAGCCTATTTTAAAGTTATTTTGGATATCTAATTGTATACCTTGGGTGGTTCTGTGTATTTGTGAGATGACAATAATTGCCTTCCTGTAGGAATAGAAATGACTTGCTTTTTTTGCGAGTATCTTCCCACCTACCAAGAGCCATCTTCACCTGTAGACACAATCTTATTTTTCAGATTTTCTAGTGAAGGAAGTAGGTAGCAAACTCTTAGATTATAAAAAAGAATGTTGAAATCCAGGAATAGTTTCAGACTTTCCTGCTCATCCGTACACCTGCTGGCACATGGATAGGGTCCTGAGTTCCCAAAAGTGAGGCTCATTATTTTTGCCAGCCCCTTGCCAGGGTAAGTAACTCTACCTCACCACCACCGAACACCCCCCCCACCAACCCCTGCCAATGCCTAATCTCCAGCACCCCTGCATCTCCAACACCCTGCTGCCTTTGTTTACTCCAGTTCTCATCACCACTGTTTTAAAAAAAATGTGAACAGTGCGGGGTGGAGGTAGAGGAGATTATAAATGGTTGGCAAATTGTCGTTGAGATTTGGAAATCTGAAAAAGTAACATCTAGTTTGAAGTACCACACTGTGTTGGCCTGAGGAATTTCTGAAAAGAACCCTTACATTTAAGTTTGTTGTATAACTTATTAGGAAAGTAGGGCCTTCCAACCAGAGAAAGAAGTAGTGTCATCGGGGCTACATTTTGTCTCATTTCTGGTTTTTACCTTTTATCAGATTCTTCTCATTCCAACCTTTCCCCTCTCCCCACATCCCCCTCCTCCTCCTCCTTCCCCTCATCTTCCTCCATTCCTTCCCCCTGAGTCCCCTCCTCTTCTGCTTCCTCTACTTGGGATGGAATCAAACCTTGCACATGCTGCACCATTAAGCTATACTGCCAGCCCCTGTAAGTTTTCAACTTAGAAAGATTTAATATGACAAAATTGTAGGTTTCAAGGGAATGTCATTTGTTTGGTTTTAAGTGAAGAGTTATATTGTCAGGGACATTGTCTCTCCATGATTACTTCATAAATGGGTGCCTTCGTGTGGGGGCCAGGATGAGGGCAGATCCTCATCTCTCAGGGCCTTGATAGTCTCCTGTTTGCTGAAGTCTGTTTGGGAGTTGCTAGAAGCTCTGTGTGGGAGCCGTTAAACTGCTGCTGCTATGAGTTAAAGAGGCTTGGTTAAAGTCTAACTATTGCCCCTTTCCAGAAGGAGCTTGGAAAAAAAGGCCTCCCCCAGCCCCTCTGTTCACCCACTGCTTAGTTCCATTGCCCTTGGACTCCTGTTTGTTTCAGGTGCTTAATCTCAGGGTATGTTAGTGTAACCCATTTGTATTTTTGGATACAAAGGTAGCCTTGAATGGAAAGATGATTTCCTTCCTTCCCTTCCTTCTTTGGCAGTACTGGGATTTGAACTCAGGACCTCATGCTTGCCAGGCAAGTTTTCTACCACTTGAGCCACTCTACCAGCCTTTTTTTGTGTTGGGTATTTTTGAGATAGTGTCTCACAAACTGTTTGCCCAGGCAGGCTTCGAACTACCATCATCCTGATCTCTGCGTCCCAAGTAGCTAGGATTACAGACATGAGTCACCAGTGCCTGGCTTTTTTTTTGAAGAAGCAGAGAACTTTACCTAATGAGATGATGTGTCCTCATCCCAGGAATGTGACTGTTCAACTGTTGTTGAATCCCTAGTTTAAATGGCATTTGATAAACACTGTGTTCCAGGAGCGAAGCTAGCCTGATCCTTAGATTTGAAGCTCAGAGAAAACTGTATTATACGTGTGGCATGTGGCCTCTGGAATCCTTCTTTTATCTTAGGAGAGGACCAGCTGGGCACAGCACTCCCAGGCATTTTATGTTGCACTTGCGATAGAATCAGTGTCTCCTCTCCCTTCTTGCTATTGTGGGTGTGTTTACCTGAATGATCAGTGACTAGCACAGAGCCTCCTCCTTGCTGAGTTGCTAAGAAGTCCTAAAATAGGAGTCTGGAGTGAGTTGTGTGTTCATGTTCTGAGTATATTCATCAAATTCAAAGTTCAACTGTGAGTTCTGTTGAACAGGCCATAAGGAGTAGCCTTCTTTATATAATAACTCCTTGATATAATTTTAATATCTAGAAAGGACAGGAAATGTTAAGTTTAATTTCATTATTTGTTCTTAATATCTGAGATATCCAAGGCCAGTGATTTTTCAAGATAATAAGTGAAGTAGAGGAATTTATAGTCACTTTATGGTACTCACTAATTTATCTAAACAATTTAGATCCTAAAGAATCACGTGTCTAAGGGGATTTAAAATTTTGCACTCTACCTAGGATATTATCTGTAGATAGACAAAAGTGATTTGTAGCTTGTATCTAAACAGATGATTCAGGCATATTCAGAACAAGCAATAAGGTTTTATTTTATTATTATTGTTGTACTGTTGGGGGGTACATTGTAGCATTTACAAAGGTTCTTACAGTATGTCAAATATATCCTACTTGAATTCACCCCCTCCAATGCTCTCTTTCATCCTCCCTCCCCTGATTCCTGGATCAGTTTCAATAGGTACCATTTTTGCATTTACATACATGTGTATAC